AAGCCGCGCGCCCCTCCCAGCCGCCCTCGGCGCCCCCCGGAGCGCCAAGAACCCTCGTGCCGCTCCTCGCGATGTCCAGAAGCGTCGGGAAATGTGCGGCTTATAACCTGGTGTGCTTTATATGTGGAAAAAGTTAAAAAAATTAACGTTAATTGATACTGCGGCTTTTAATCCGGTGCGGTTTTTGGTCGTGAAAATACGGTACCTGGGACCCCAAATCCTATCAAAAGCTTTCCACCTCCCTTTTCCATTTGTTCCTAAAAAACAGGCGCGCAAAGAACAGTTCTGCCGAGGGCTGTACAATTCTACACTTGCTTTTCATTCCTTCCCAAATAAGTACGTTAAGCATACTTTTAAGAATTGAACCACAAAGTGAAATTTGATCCTTGCAAAGAGAAGTTGGAGCCTGTTCCAAAGCTTCTGGCTTAATTTAGCTGGCTCCTCTTTCAATTTGCAATTTGGGTTTGGACTCCAATGTGGCTCTGGGCCATTTCTGTGGTTGAATTTGCAATGGGAAGATTTCATAGTTTTTCATTTCCTTTGTTGTTACACAACTCCTGGTTATGAGTGTTTGAGCTATATAATTCTGGGTGTTAATTTGCCTTTTTATCATACCGAGATGTTGTAGATGCTCCAGTTGCTCCTTAGGACGTGTGTGGAAAAAGGAGAGCTATAAGCATCTTGCTGAAAGATTGAAAATGAGACAAAGGAGACAAAAGGTTTTGCTCACTTCAGCCCCAAGCCTGGGAGGGAAAATCCCTCACCACATCAACCAAAACGGAGTAGAACTGAAAAGGAGGAAAAGAAAAGCAGCAGGAAAAATCTAGCGGTATCTTGTTGGAAGCCACCACAGACAATTTTCCTGTCTTCACGCTTCACCTTCGCCTAAAGGTTGAGAAGCCATATCAAGATGCCTTTTGCCACTTAAGTCATATACCCGTATTTTTGGAGTATAAGACGAACCTTTTTCCCTCAAAAAAGAGGCTGAAAAGCTGGGTGCATCTTATATACTGAATACAGCATTTTTGGCCTCCCGAAACCCTGCCCCCTTTGCAAAAATGGCCATGCATAGCTTTTAGAAGGCTTTCAGAGTGCTCCTGGGGGCTAAAGAGGGCAGAAATGAGCAAAAAACATGGGCCATTTTTTGCTTAATTTTGCCCCCCACTGTCCCCAGGAGAACTAAAGACTATCCATTCCCTTATATTTGACAAAAACGGGCCTGTTTTTGCGAAAAATGGTCCTGTTTTTGCAAAAAATGGGCCATTTTTTCTCATTTTTGCCCCTTCCCCAGACCCCCAGGAGCACTTTGCAAGCCTCCTAAAGGCTATTCATGTCCCCTTTTTTGTGAAAAAAGGGGGCCCATGTTTGAGAAAAAGAGGCCGTTTTTTGATGGTTTGCAGAGTATTTTAAGGGTTTTAAAACTTTATTTTAAAATTTGCCTCTTCAAAACCTTGTCTTATACTGTGAAAAATACAGTACATTTCAAGATAATGGATAAAGAATATTTCTAATTAAAACAATTCACAAGTGATGTTTTTTTTTTAATAAAAACATTTTGAAACCCTCTGGGAGAATTTATTTTTTGGCCAAAACCCAGAGCACCAGTATAGGTAGTCCTTGTGTAAGGGTCCTGTTTGGGACTGGAAAATCTGTCCTTAAGCAATGAGATCATAAGTTAAAAAGCTACCTGACTGCACCATGTGGGGAGGACAGTTCTAGCAGTCTTTGCATGTAGGAAGCCAGCAAGGAAAGTTGACAATTGCAGCCATTTGACTGTTGGGAAGATGATGCGATGGCCATAAATATGAGGTCCAATTCCAACTACCACCATATTCAGCACCATCATAACTTCAAGCGGTCACTAACTAGGAGTTGTTAAATAAGGACTACCTACATAGATTTGAGAGTAAGGTTTGTTTAAAAAGAGCTGTTTCTCCTCCTCTTTCCTGCAATTACAGTGTCTGCCTTTGTTTTCTGCTCAACAAAGTGTTGATTCATTGGTTCCAAAAGAAATTGATTGACTGGCTTGTCCATTCCTGACATTGTAGGTCGAGAGAGAAAGGGACTTTCTGGCATAAGGAACCTGCCCTATACCTTGAGTTGTTCATATTTATTTCTTTATTGCTGCAATGTCTAATTACAAGGATCTCACCAGACTGACCGCAGTGTCTTGAGAACAGTCAGATAAGGCTTACTTCTAGGGGAGAGAGGGCCTGGTGCATTTTCTGTTGTGCAAGGACTCTAAGCTCGGTCCCCACTTCATACCTCCCCCAATTGTAGCTGGAGATTCCACCACAGTGACTGACTCAAAGTCACCCAGATGGTTTCCATGCCAAAAGTGTCACCCATCATAATGGTCAATTAAGACTTTCACTTGACTTGTTTATTAAGGGAGAAAATCTCTATTAGGGTTATCAGCCCCGGGTGGCACACACCACATTTTTTGCTCAATGATCATTTCATTTCATTCACACTTTACCCAAGAGGCCACAAGCGCAGCCAAACTTTGTCCAAGTGTGCTCTTTCATGCTACATTCTAGAGCACAGGTGTCAAACTCATGGCGTCATGTTGCCATCACGTGACATTGTGATGTTTTTCCCTTTCACGGAGCTGGAGTGGGTGTAGACTGCGCATGACGCATCCATCCCATGGGCCATCATTTGACACCCCTGGTCAAGAGACTACCTTGACAGCTCATATATTGTTAGACATACCAACTAGAAGGCATAATGCAATTTACTGACATACATTCAGGGCACATATACAAAATGTTTAGGGTTTGATTTTTTTAATTGTGAGTGGGGGAATGCAAACTCAAGGAGGAGGGGAAACAACAATCATATCTCTGTTCGAAACTGTAGCCTAGTTCCTTTCATTTGCATCTTGTAATTCTCATCGAAATGTTCATTTTGTGCCACTGTGAATTGGTTCTTCCAGTCACCAGCAACTCCTAAATTGAGGGAAAAATAATACTCAACATAACTAAGGAGTCCTTAGTACTTTCTGAACTTGCCTGTTTGCGTGCAGGTATTTCATTAACCAACTAGGTAACATTTTAAATGTAGTTATGTTGCAATATATGTAGCTCACTGTTCACTGTTCACTTATGGAACCTTTTGATAGTTTTTGGGGCTGGGTTGTTTACTTTCAGATATTTTATTACCCAACTAAGTAACATATATTATCTTCTGTTTCAACATCACTATATTTAAAACTGGATAAAATAAAGTTGGATCCAAAACATGCAGTATATTCCCTGGAGATAAACATTATCAGAAAACAGGCAGAAGGGAAATAAAAGACTGATGTACAACATACTGTGTATTTAGGAGAATGTAGAAGCTGGCACAAAGCAGGCATAATTGCAATTTCTCGTGCCATATTCCCCCCCCCCCCCAAATCTTGGTTATGGTTGTCAGATCTCAAGATCTGACTTGTCTGTTTCCAACTTGGAGATTCCTATACAAGCAGTGAAATCCCCAGGAAAAGGGTAAAAAGTATGAGAACCGAATCCAGCCACAACCTTCGCTGTGAATAGCGCATGTTAATCTTCCCCAAGCAATTGTCCTGCATTGTCAATTGTTGTTATTCTTTCTGGAAAGTTTGACCCTTCCACATATACAAACTGCTCAGGTTGGCGAAGATAGTTGTGCATGTAACACCCACAAAGAGCCTGCAACAACATTTGCCTGCAACAACATTATATTTCCATGCTACAATTATTGTTGACCTCTATCCCAGCCTTCTTTCCAGTGGTGATATTAGGAATAAGTAGCTTGACCTAAAATTCCATAATCCCTGACCAGCACAACGATTAGCCCTGATAGCTGGAATTGCAAATCTAACACATATGGAACTTGTCAGGCTGGAGTAGGCAGCACTACTATTTCATCCTTTTATGAGCATTAAAGATGCAAACTTCACTTCATGCAGCCCCAATTTGGTTGATTCATAGATTTACCTTTCCTCATGAAAGGAGAGATGGTGTGATCCATAAAAGAAATGGGAACATTTGTATAATTAGCCATTGGGTTCTGACTCATCTCCTTGAAGGAGGTGTGATATGCAATCTTCTTAATTAGGTTTTCATCAGCTGGTCGTTCTAGGAATTCCATTATCTTTCGAATCTCTTGTTCTAGATCCTACAAGCAGTGCAACAATCAAATAGTGAAACCAGGAATTTTGCACTAGGTGGAGAACAGTGAGATACAGATAGTCCTTGACTTACAATCACAATTGAGCCCAAAATACCTTTGCTAAGCAAGATGTAACTAAATACAACTAAACTTTCTTGCTATGATTGTTAAGTGAACGAGTGCAGTTGTTAAGTTAATAACGGTTGTTAAATGAATCTGGCTTAACTTTCTGACTTTGCTTGTCAGAAGGCTGCAAAAAGTGATGACATGACCGTGGACCCTGGCACATGGCAACCGTCATAAATACATGCCAGTTCCCAAGCATTCAAATTTTGATGATGTGACCATGGGGATGCTAAAGCAGTCATAATTTTAAAAAATGGTCATGTCATTTTTTCAACATTGTAACTTTGAATGGTCACTAAATGAACTGTTATAATCCGAGGACCACCCATATAAAGATATATTAAATGAATTAAAATATGCTTTGCATTTTCATTTTCTGCATCAGATAAGGAGAGCATATTTTTCTCTAACCGCTTTTTACAAAGCACGATTGAGAGCGTTTTAACAAACTGCATCACTGTTTGGTTTGCTGGCTGCAGTGTCTCAGATAGAAAGTCCATACAGAGAGTGGTAAGGACTGCTGAGAAGATTATAGGAAGCTTGCTTCCCATTATTCAAGATACTGCTTATAAGCGGTATGCGCTTAGAGCTCAAAGCATTGTTAACAGACCCCACACAAACACTGTTTCTATTGCTCCCTTTTGGCAGGAGGTTTTGAAGTATCTATAGCAGGACTACTAATTTCTGTAAAAGCTTTTTCCTCATGCCATTCGTCTTGTAAAGTCGCAAGATTCATGGGGTTTTTTTTTGTCATATACATCTGAACTGGACTGTGATGTTTCTCTGTGTCATATATGTGTGTCTATGTGGGTATATGCATAATTGTTATCTTTTGAGGGCTGACTGCAATGAAATATCATTTTAATAAACGCTGATTAGTATACATTTAGAGTGACAATAACTTTTTTATTCTACCCTATGCTATCCTTTGCACTTAGAAAGGATTCTCTCAAAACTCCGTATTATCTTTCAGCCAGAAGGGAGTAATCATAGAAGATACGTTTTCCCTTTCTCATTGTCCAGAAGGCATCATTTGCAATTTAGCCACAAATTTGCCTTGGAGATGTAATCAACTTAAGCCTCTCACAATCTTCCGCCTACAAGACTACTTTTCCAAACTACCTGAGCATAATTAGAATTCTTCTCCACATAATTAGAGAAGCATTTAGCTTGAGGACAGCTGCTATGGCTGCTATGACATGTTTTATAGCATTTTGTGATCAGTCCCTACATGTATCTTTGATACTGAAAGTTGAAAATGTATGCAAGTCTTAGACAGAACAGGAAGAGGTCTACACCTTGTATCTAATTCCCAATGTGGGGAGAAGAAGTGGACAGTGAAGGAGCAGAGAATAACTGTTAATAGAAGAGCAGAAGTCTTGCCTCTTTCATATCTTCATAAAAGAGGTACAGAATCCTGTGTTTTTCCTTAATGTCCCACCAACCTTTGACGTGATCATACCAGGATCCAAAAGACACTGAGGAGAGAAATAGAATGCTTGTGAATGATGGGAATTGTAGTACAACAGAATGGAGAAAACTACAGTTTGCTTACTACTTACTTTGGTTTGGTCATCAGGAGCATGAAACAGGACTAGAAACTCTGGTAGAAGTTCACTGTCAAACTTTATACAAAGAATCATAGATTTACATAAACTGATCTGCCCACTAAAAAGGAATGGGTAAGGAGGAGAAAGCCCAGATCTGACCTTCACATTCACAGAGCTTCAAGCTGTGAAACCAGTCATTAGCAGTAGACTTCAAGCAGCTTCCCCCACAAGGGTGTCCTAATAAGCATTAACCCATCCCTATAATTTGCCCTACTAGCTACGGCTAAAAGCATGGCTATCATACTATCTCTTGAACTTATCATACCAAGGAAGGCAAATATCCAAGCTGAACGCCTTGGAAGGGTTTACCATCCACTTACCATTTCCATCCATAAATTTCTCCAGAAATTCTTCCCATGTTCCAGGCTCTGGGTGCACTTTTGCCATTTGGTAGAAGTAATAAAATGAGACAGCCACATCTTTGGCATTTCTGGCTACATAGATGATCTGTTGTGTGGCAAACGAGAATGCTAATTAAGCTGATCTGTATAATAGCAATAGCTCTTAGACTTATATACTGCTTTGCCGCCCTCTCTAAGCAATTTACATTTTGGAGATAATGTGTGAAAGGAAAAGCAGAAGGTCTTTCTCCAATTCAGGTAGTCCTCAACCTATGACTGTGATTGGCATGGAAATCTTAGTTGTGGTGCAAATTGGTTGTTAAGTGAGACACCTGTGTGACTGCTTGGCTCAACAGTCACAATCCTGGCACTTCCACTTGAGGTCATTAAGCAGAGTTTTTAAAGGAAAGTGCAGGAGTTCCTCTGGAGGGGAGGAGAATTTTAAGGTCCATCATAGGCTAGAGCAGTGTTTTTCAACCTTGGCAAGTTTAAGATATATGGACTTCAACTTCCAGCATTCTCCAGCCAGCTATGCTATACTATGCTGATTATGCAGTCAGCTGTGCTGACTGGGAAATGCTGGTAGTTGAAATCCATACATCATAAAGTTGCTAAGGTAGGGAAACACTGGGATACAGGACACCAACATGCAGAAGCTTGGTGTGAGATCTCAATGGGTTACAGAGCACACCAGTGCAAGGAAACCTGCTGCAGCCTGGGAGGTCAGGTCCCAGGCCCTACCCCGCCAGACCCAGCAGGCCTCATCTGTTAAAGGACCCAACAGTGCAGGCAAATTGCTCCACTTCTCTTTGTGGTTTTTCTGTAACAGACATTCCTAACCCTGAGAACGTCTAGCAGCAGACTCGGACGATGAGAAGGTTGGTGAGGAACCTGAGCTAGTTCTGGAGTCTGGGGAAGGCTGTAATGGATGCTCTGTGTTGGATGCAAAGATTTCCCAGCCACCAGAGGGCCAGCTGCCTTTGGAGGCTGAGATGAGTGAGAAGGAAGAACAGCTGGGGCCTGTTTCATACTGTATGTACAGAGCAGTTAGGAGAGGTGAACAACAGAGGACAAGGAGTCGACTCGGGAAACAAAGCACACGTGGATGCTGAATGGCCCTCTCTCGCTGGGGAATAAGTAGAAGGAAAGAGGATTAGTTGTCATAGGAGACAACAGTTCGTATTTCTGGAGATTTTGCTCATTGTGTTTCGTGCATCAAGGACTGCTTGCCAGAACTTAATTTGCAGCCTTTCGGCTGGGAGCTCAGGGCCTTGCAATTATCACAAGGAACTGAAAAGGTCTGTTGCTGCCTTTAACTCATTGCAGGACTTTTGCCTGGACTTTTCGGTGGGTGAATGCAATTAATTCACAAGAGGTAAATAAAGAGGGTTTTTTTGTGACAAGGAGTCTGTTTCTTGCACCCAGTCTCTACAAGAGACAGCCTTCCCACCAAGGCCGTCTTGCATCATATGGAAGCATGTGCTATTCTTGCAATATTTTGGGGAAGGCTTCCGAATGGATTGCCAAAATGCATTACCTGCTCTTACAGTGCTTTGGAAGCCTCCTTTTGATAAGAGTAACTCACTAGGAAGACTTCCGCTTTGGAAGGCTTCCAAACCATTGTGAAAATTGCACATATTTCCAAAATGGCACAATGCGACATGGTTAGGAAGGCTGTGCCCAGTGGGCATGCCTGTCAACAACTGCAGAAACACTACAAAAGTAAGTGAGGCAATTTGAATATGTTGTGGGCACTGTAACAGGTAAGGATTCCCAAGCCTGGTGTGGGCAAGGAGCAGACTAAGGCTTCTAGGACCGTCTCAGCTTTGCATGCACTGGTGGAATAGGATGGGGCTGAGATGGACAGAGAGATAAGCAAGTTGGGGCATTTGCAGCATTTCTACAGTTGAAAGGTAAATGGACTACAAGGCCCAAATTTCCATCACATGACCACAGGGTTGCAGCAACAGTGGTAACTTCAGGCGAAGAAATCTCTTGGTTCAGCACCTTGGTAATTTTGAACAGTCATTAAATGTATGGCTGTAAAGACTACTTGTATGTCCTTGCATTCATTTTATTGCTTCTTCATGTATTAACAGTCACATCTTTTTTCTCTCTCACCTTGCAATTCTTTTCCAGGAAAGATTTGGGGAGCAGGTGGACAGGAAGGTGTGTCTTAATTCGACATGGACGGGGTGCTTCCCTGAGCAGTTCAGGGCCTGGAAAGGGAAAAAGAATAATTGAACTGACATCTCCATCCTATCCCTATCATTAGCCTATCCAAATCAGCTCTTCTGTGGGTATAAGGGAAGAGGAAATGCTGCCAGTCTGTATTATATATATATCTGTATCACAAGTTTTCTAGTCATCAACTAGCAGTAGGAAAAGCTACCAAAGATGTCTGCAGCAAATTGCCCAGACTATATGGTTTGCATCTTCCCTCATCTCCACAACTGTGATTTTGATCAGGACTAGGATCACACAAGAAGTTCCTATTAAACTGATTTATTACTCATGCATCTATGTACAGGAATCTACTCAACTAACAGCACTGTATTGGCACTAGATAAAGATCAACAAAATTCAAGAAGGGTTGGACTTAGTCCCCTTGGGGGGTACGTAGAGACTCCAGGCTGATTACTCTTTTGACTCCACCCTCAGGTTCTGACACTCCTACATCCACTTCCTCCCTGACCAAATTACTGTCTAGACTCTAGAGGGAACGATTCCTATGATTTTACCTGCAGGGAGACCAGGAAAAGCAAATTCCAAGAAAGGGACTCGCACGTAGATGGGTTCAAGTGCACATTTTTCAAGAATGCCTTCTTTATAGATCATGTCTATAATTTCACTGACCCAGGTAGTTCCTGAAAAGGCATAAGAAATTTGGATGTGCTGAACCAAGATGATATTTCAAGAAGAAATGTACTGTCTAAAATAAAACAGGATTTTTCATGTAGTCCACTCGTAACACCTCATTCTTAAACTATAGGAAGTTGTCAGAAAACTAAATTGGAATGAAATTTTCTACTCCAGGTGCCAATCAGAAGTGATGAGATATCCCTTCCCCATAAAATGACCAATAACCCCCCCTGATCTACATGTCTGTGGTAGAGTTTGGTGATTATCAAAATTGCTTCCAGTGTTATGAGTGGTGAAGCAAAACAGAATGTTTGCTTCCACAGGCAAATATTGTTTTTTTCTACAATATCTACAACGAAGACAAAGGAGTTGAAGTAAAGGCAATAGAGGACAGAGTTGCCAATGGGATTTCCTAAAAAATAACCTGACTTTTACTTAATAAAGCCAATCTCTACCTAAAAATTTCAGATAATGAGCAAAAACCCCACTACATAGTTTTAAACTATATTATTTCATCTGAGATATTGTTCCAATATCTCAGGGGTTGCCACAAAGAAGAGGGAGCCAAACTATTCTCCAAGGCACCTGAGGGTAGAACAAGAAGCAATGGGTGGAAACTAATCAAGGAGAGAAGCAACTTAGAACTGAGGATAAAGTTCCTGACAGATAGAACAATTAATCAGTGGAATAGCTTGTCTCCAGAAGTTGTGAATGCCCCAACACTGGAAGTCTTTAAGAAGATGCTGGATAGCCATTTGTCTGAAATGATACAGGGTTTCCTGCCTAGGCAGGGGGTTGGACTAGAAGTCCTCCAAGATCCCGCCCAACTCTGCTATTGTATTATTGTATTGTATTATTGTACCTGGATCTTTTTGGATAGGAGAGCCCCTCAAGAGACATTGTGAGAGGGTGCTCACATGTGGCAACTGTGAGAATTATTCAAGCTTCCTGATGAATAAAGTTGTTTAGATTCTATTTGGCCTCTTATTGGGTAGGATAGATGGGGGAATTTTGGGCACAGTCTGTGAGTGTATGATCCAGGATGAGTTTCAGCTGTTGGTCTCTAAGAAAGTGGACAGGCATTTCTGTGGTATCAGTTCAACCATCTATTTACTGGATCTAAGTTCCTTCTTTGTCATAAAATCAGCCAGGAAGATGATCCACAGTTGGGTATAGACTGTGGTATTGTCCTCTCTGAGAGGGGGCTGATAACGCTTAAGAGGCACTAGTGTGGCCTCTCAAGTAGCCAACCTTGTATTGACCAGTTTTTGACAACTACTGACCAGCCTCTAACCTCCCACTTGTCCTATTTCAATCACACACAAATATTTATTATGGAGAAAAGCAATTTTACTTCAAAACTGAAGAGATTTAACAAAACAGAAGCTTGCCTGAAGTATTTGATTTTGATAAGAGCATGCGGGAAAAATAGTCCAAATCCCACCCAGGTTGTAAGAGAGAGGTGAAAGTTGTCAGCCATTCTTGAGGTCAGAGGTTCAAGGTATCTAACAGGACTTATAGTATTCAGAGGAACCTAATGCAATAGGCAGATATCAACTATTGTTTGCAACAATGGGCACATGGGTCAAAACTGCTTCTTAAAGCAGACTATAGCCAGCTGTCACTCATCAATAGATTTGCAGTAGACTTATGGAACAGTTCTGCTCTCCTCTCTACTCATTGGGTGAAGAGCTACTCATCTGGTTATTCCAGCTGTCCAAGTAGTTCCTGTGTTTGATCAGCTCCATGTGATTCTTGGCTTTGTGTCTCCTGAAGCTGATATTCCACAGCTTCTTCAAATTCAGATTTAGAATCCATGTCCTGAGTCTGGCTCATGACATCTTTTTTCAATGGTTCTCTTCCTTTCTCCAGGGACATTTCCAACCAGTATTGGTTGAGAGGGGAGAGATTGTTCTTTTGACCCTTTCTATGTGGGATACTACAGGGTTCTATTATCTCCCCCTCCTTTAAAATCCAGTATGAAACCACTGGGTGAATCACCTGGGTGAGATTGGTGTTAAATATCATCAGTATACTGATGACACTATGTCTTTTGACCCCAGGCCAGCCAAGAGAGGCTATCAAGATTTCTGTCCCTATACTAAAAGGCTGTGTGGGATAGGATGGGGAACAACCATTTCTGTCTCAGTCCTACCAGTACTGAATACTGTGGGTATTGGGGTTATCCAGATCTGGGGCAATTCCATTTCTGACCTGAAATGGAGTAGCACTTCCCCCTTCATGGTTGGTATGCAATGTGGGGATTTTTCTGGGCTTGTAACCCCTGCTTGAACAGCAGATGGCAACTGTGACCAAAAAGTACTTTGTACAACTTCATCTGGTATGACAATTGCATCTTTTCCTAGTTTGGAATGGGGGCTTTCAGATAATCATTCATGCCCTTATCACCTCACAACTTGACTACTGCAACATAGTCTACTTGGGGCTGCCCTTGAACACCACTCTGAAGCTTTAACTAGTCAAGGATATAGCGGTGCAATGAGTGATTATCATATGTCATTCTGTCCATGTTCAAAGCTTTGTTTTGTGAGCTGCACTAGTGCCAGTTTGTTAGTGCAATTCAAGTTGCTGGTTGCTATCTATGGCATAGAGTCTAATTACATGAGGAACTGCCTATTTCCTATAATATCTGCTCAGTCATTCTGGTTTTGCAGACTTGGCATACTCTGATTTCTTTCAATTCAACAAAGTCAGGATCCCAAATGTAGCAACAACTGCCCTCAAGGTTCCCCCTGAGAATTGGATGGCCCTCATTCATCTATTGTTTAGAAGGTGTCATAAAAACCTGGTTCTTTATCCAGGCCTTTTGTGAGGGAAAGTGAGACCCCTCACTTTCCCCCATCCAGTCTGTCATCTTTGCCATATTTTAACTTTTATTATTTTATATGTTAGATTGTTGTGAACTGCCCAAAAAAGAAACAGAAAAGCTGCAGTGAAGGACAAATAATATCCCTTCCCTCCCACCCCATTGAGGGCTATGCTTTTAGGCCATTTTTCGTAGCAATGAATTCTGTTTTATAGCATCATTTAACCATCAGGGTGCTGATATAACTGTAATGAAGGGTGGCTTCATAGTGCCAGAACAATGGGTGATGCTAGAAGATGTTATAAATCACTAATGAGGAAAATGGTCTAAACTGGCAATGGCAATCCTTTTTAGAAAGACTGGTGCAAAAAGTCAAAAGAATGGCATTTTCAAGTATAAGCTGAAGTTTCTTTTTAAAAAGACAGAAAATTTATCCTCCTGGGAATAAGGATGAAGCCAATGGAAGTTCAACTATATTAGATAAGCTGTTTCTAAAGCATCTGCCACAGGCTTCCTCTGTTACTGGAGAAGATAGAAAAAAAGGATCTGCCTGGGTGGGTGTAGCAATCCCTTAAACCTGGGTCACAGGTGAGGCCCTTCTATCTTCCCATGGGGCATGCTGAAATATGTTTTTTGATCAAAATAAAAGCCTGCAAAGCAGAAATGAAATGGAAATATTACAAATAACAATGCCAGAAAAAGAAGAATGAGGAAAGAACATGGTAAGATCAAAAATCAAAACAGAAGATTTAACCATATCTATTGTCACTAAATTTCACTAAATTTAACTAGTTTTAGATTATACACTTCTGTATAATTCTTCTGTATCTTGTCCTCTGGGGTAGATTTCCCCTCCATTTAATTCCTCTTTCCGTATTCCACTCTTTCCATTTCCAGACACAAACCAATCACCATAGATATCAGCAGATTTGATTTCTTTGAGGTCATTTTAGGACTCTAATTTCCACTTTTTCCACTTGATAAACATCTCCAACTTCTTCATCATATTTTACTGTTAGATTTACTGCTCTAGATTTTCCAACTTCTTCTCCGTCCTCTCAAATGTGTTTGATAATTTCTGNCTTTCCTTTCCCTGAGGACACTGGTGAGGCCCCGCCTCCCTTGCCTCTAGTGACTGCACGTCCCTGAACATTACCAGCATTGTATATATTTTAAGCTTAATCAAATATACCTTTCTTTATTTTTTAATATAGTAACTTTACACATTCGCTAAAAATAATACAAAAAATGTTCTTTCTTTATCATATTTCTTCTTTATAAATATATCTTCAAAGCCTGGTTATTCATCCTAGTCTGTGTGTGTGTGTGTGTGTGTGTGTGTGTGTATGTATGTATGTATGTATGTATGTATGTATGTATTCAGGGATATTAGAAACAACGACATACAGTATATCTTAATCTTATATAAATCCATTTTGTGTTTCTTCTGTTTACTTTTGGGAATCTTTAATCCCTTGAAAGGGTGTCCCATAAATTGATTTCTTATCATTTTCTCTCTTTTTTCCCTCTGAAACTGCTTCCTAAATTCAACACAACTCTTTTGTAAATCCAAGATGAAAAAGTTTACCAAGTCATTCTTCTGGTTTATCATTTATATGTGTTTAATTTAAGACATTATTAACCACTGAATTCTTCCATAGTCAAATAATATTGTACTTTCTGTATCTCTTCTCCGTTTTTTATAATCTTTAATTCTTTTTGATTCACTGTACTCAAACCTCAAAGTCCTTTTCTATCATATTTTTTCTAATCAACAATTCTTTTCCAAAGAAAGATATTCCTGTTCCATTTGCTAAGATCATATTCCTGGGCAGGCAGATATTTTGGTTTCAGATAGGGGGAAAAACAGAAATATAAAGCAGGAAGGCATGTTCAAGGTTATATGTTTCTTAAACATGATCAGATTTGATGAAGATGAAAATAGATTATAATTAAAAGCTTAAGTCATAAGTCACATAATATTTATTTACTAAAATTCTATAAGACCAAAAAAAAATGAGTCACGTGACAGTTTCAGATGAGACTTTTATTCTGCAGTTGTTTACCTGGAATACAATTCCCATATAAAATCTGAATAATTTTGCAAGTGATCTATCAANATCGTAGACTTCTGCAAAATACTTTATCATGGGGATCCCCTAAACAGAGACCAATGGATGGCGCACCTCTTCTTGTTCTGGCTTCATTTTGGCTGTGAAAGGATTAAAGGGGAGGACAGCTTTAGGAGGAAACACAACTCTTTCATCCAGAGTCAAGAGATTTGCCACACAACCCAGCAGCTATCTGGATTCAGAGCCTAGTGAGTGGCAGCTGATAGTAGGTCCCTCAAACATTTGATAAAATCTCATATATAAAGATAGTCATGTCACCCTGGACACAGAATTGAATTATCCCCTGAAGGAGGTGGATAGTCAGGAAGACCTAGGAAGGAACATAGACATAGACGGAACAGAAATATACAGCACTTCTCTAATCCTGTTGTCCAAATTTGTTACATTTTCAAATGTTCTACTCTACTAGACTGGCTTTTATTTACCCTTGATGGAATCAGGACAGATATGGGGGAAAAAATGCTCAAAAGATAATCAACTTTACTTCTTAAGCACTTGTTCCTCCTTCAAAGAAAACAGCATTAATCACTCAATTCCTGTGGGTACTTCAGATATTTGGGAAGTCTTAAGACAACCCCTTCTACAAGTCCTAATACAAAATCTCTGCTTTATATGACTTAAATCCCTCTTTCCTTTTTCGGAATGCAGCAAAGCCAGTTGTATCCCAGCTGTCCAGAAATATTTATCTTGGCTTGAATGTATCTGGCAGGCCTGCTGGCTGTTTTTGACTTCGGGCATTAGAATAAGTGGAAGAGCTGTGGACTTTGGCTTGAAGTGGGAGGAACCTTAAGTATTTAAGAGGAATGGAATTCAGCTCTTCTGAACAAACATTTTTTAAACTTATCATTGTCTTTGCATTTCAACAAAAGAACTCTTCTTCCCAAATCTCATCCCTATAAACAAGTTGTGAAGCTTCGCCATTCAGTCCCAATCAGCAAAAGACCATTAAACATTACCAGTGACGTGCAGTCAGCTTTAGCCCTGGTGAGGCACTTCTTAGACTTGTGGACTTCAACTCCCAGAATTCCACAGCCAGGCATGCTCAATTCTGATTTAAAGCGACAGCATTTTTTCCCCTTGCAAAATAAGGTTTCCCATTCTTTTTCTTCTCCCTCCCCCTCCTTCCTCCCTCTCTCCCTCCCTCCCCCCTCTCAAACATACACA